GCAATGGCGGAGGCAGGGGGTGGCCAGTGGTGCCCTTGGCTACCATAGATTATCCTTCTGCCACCTTACCGGCCGCCCCAGTCATTCAAGGAAACTATTAAGAAATATAAAAACTATAGTTTCTTCAAACGATCCGAGTGGCCGGTTTACTTTTGTACATGGTGGCAGCCATCTTGGATTTTCATGTGGCAACCCAGTTTTAGAGAGTGATCTTCCTCAGGCCTAAATGCAGCTACACACCAAAATAGAAGTTGGTACTTCACTTATTTTTCATGATATCAAGCTCAAAAGATGAACAGATGGACAGACAGAGGGGTATTTTCAATTTTTCTGCGCTCCTTGATGGGGGACAAGAAGAGGCAACAAGACCGAACTTTCCAAAAGACTTACTGGGGCTCTGGACAAGGGCCTTAAAGCTCAAGCTAAAAGCAGCTAAATGCTTGCTATAGGTGAAAGTAAAAAAGAGCTAGCTAAAAGCTAAAAGTAGTAATACAATATCTAAAAGTGGAGAGAGGACAAAAGGTTAGCTAAAAGTAGCAAAAGGCTAGCTAAAAGCTAGAGCAGCAAAAAAGTATAGCTCAAGGAAAAAACAACAAAAGTTTAGCTAGAAGCCCCAAGCGGAAAAAAAAAATCAAAGCTAACAGTAGCATACTTTTAGCTAATAAGGTAAGTAGTAAAACAACAGTTACATTTAAAGGTAAAAATAGCTAAAAGCTAGCAGCAGAATTGTAGCTTAAAGCTAAATCTAGTTAAAAGCTAGCCAATAGTATTTGTCGACCTATGTCTCTGGAACCATGTGCTTCTACGTTCAACCACAGATTAATCTAAGTCTCTGTCCTGACACTTCAATCACCTTCATCTATGTATCCTAAGAATCTCCATCCTCCTCTCCTGGCTGACACCTGCTTCTACACCTGTGAGAAGGAGTCATATTGTCAAAAGGCCTATCCTGTATACAATTCTAGATCCTTGCATCAGCTCTCTGCAGATCCATTTTGAACATTTACACCATCGGAAGAAGCTAAATGTGTTGATTAATAATAATAATAATAATAATAATAATAATAATAATAATAATAATGTCATCACAATGTCAGCACTGTATGTTTCCATACAATGGCGAAATTAGTCTCTGCATTTAACCCATCCACCACCAGGTGGTGCAGTGGGCAGCTATTGAAAGCGCCCAGGGGGCATTTTGGGGGTGAGGTGTGCTGCCCAGAGACGCCACGATAGCACAAAGTATGCAGAAGTACTGTATTTTTCGCTGAATGAGAAGCATAAATTTGCAAGTCCTGCAACTTATACACCGAAGCGACTCTAATATACATTTCCCCCCCATATTTATATCCCAATTTTTGTCTGAGATCTGATGATTTCCTTCATCCCGACATGAAAAATATTAAACATTACCATTTGCAGCCCGTAAAGGGCCCTCGAGCAATATGGCAAGCCAAGTGTCTCATTAACAGGTAAAAGTGGCTATTAATGAGACAACTGGATTGCCTTAGCAGCCACTGTCTCACTCCAGAACTCCTGGAGCAAACATCAAATCAGCTGCATTTCGTCGCGCCCCCCAGGTGAAATGCAGCTGATTTGACCATTAAAGTGCATTTATTAAGGAAAAGTTCAACTGAGGGGCAGCACGGTGGCGCAACTGGTAGAGCTGCTGCCTCTCAGCGAGCAGGTCCTTGGTTCAAACCCCGGTCCAGGGGCCTTTCTGGGTCGAGTTTGCATGTTTTCTCCGTGCATGCGTGGGTTTTCTCCGGGTGCTCCGGTTTCCTCCCACAGTCCAAAAACATGCATGTTAGGCTGATTGGTAACTCTGAATTGTCCCTAGGTGTGAGTGAGAGAGTGAATGGTTGTTTGTCTCGTTTGTCTCTATGTGTCCCTGTGATGGACTTGCGACCCGTCCAGGGTGTACCCCGCCTCTCGCACAGTGATTGCTGGACATGGGCACCAGTGACCCCCGTGACCCAAAATGGAATAAGCGGGTAAAGAAAATGGATGGATGGATGGAAGTTCAACTGAGACACACCGTTGCCATAATTTTGAGCAAACAAATAATCGTTTTTAAGTGCTAACTTTGTTAAATTCTTGTTAAAGTCTTCCTGTGCGCGCTCCCATGGCCGCCATTTTGGCAGCCAATTTTTGGCGCAACACCGGCTCACGTTTCCGAGTTGTCAGCGGTGACGCATAAGAGATGTGACCGATACGGCAAAGCAATTTTTTTTTCCATTTTTTTGGACTTTTTGGACTGATGCGACTTATACGGCGGAAAATACGGTAGTTAGATTGCAAAAAAAAAAACAAATGTGGAAAAAAAACAAAAACAGGAAAACAAAAGTATGAATCACTCACAGCTTTACAGCTTAATTAGATGGTTTCTATATGTAACTCTTTGTCTTACAGGAAACTGGGGAGGTGTTCTAGTTGACACTAGGCCTATACTGCTGCACCTTAGTAAATTCTCTTTTATGTTCAGGGATGAGACACAAGGAAACACTGTGATCAGTATAAATATATTTATTTCTCAGTCCTTTACCTGACATCAAATATTGCTTTCCCCAAACAAAGTTTTTCCTTTCTCTGTAATCATAGTTTAAATTATACCCTATCAAATTAGATTTATTTGTGATCATTCCTCTCATTCTCGCCCAGAATACACAAAGATTAAAGACATTTAAATAACACAGAAGCAAAGACACTGAAACGTCAAAGGCAGCAGGTAATTAAAAACATTTTGTGTCCATATGGTGGTCGATCCACCCAAACAACAAGGTTTGGAGACCTAAATCCAGACTGCAAACGTGACGGCCTGCATGGATTGCATTACCGTAAGTAACCTAAAACACGGCATCCTCAAAATGTTCTTTGTCATGCAAAGGAAATCTGAGATGGATTGCTACCAGATACACATCTGCAGCTTTTTAAGCACTCTTACTGGAATATTAGAGCATTATGTCTGCATTACTTGTGACAAGGAAGATAAAAAAAGAAAGAAAAAGAAAGAAAACTGAGAATTGGCCTTAGTTTTTAACAATGTTGAAAAGGATATATATATATTAAAAAAGGCCTTTTCAATAAATCACAGGAGTTAGAAAAGATTTAGGAAACTAAAAACAGATGCCTGTGAATTTGTGCTGCAATTGAAGACGTTGATTTTTTTTCCCACACACTTAATATACAACTCTTTATAAATATGTTCAATTTAGTAAAGGTTTTCATTGATTAGATTTTTTTTATGGATTTTTTTTTTTTTTTTTTTTTTTTACAACTACTTAAGATTATCCTGATGCATGCTCAATAATCCAGGTAGAAAAATCTAAAAAAGTTAAATCTGGTCCTCTGGACATTCAAAAAAACAAAACAAAGCAAATCAACAAAAAATGTAGAAACGTTTCGTCTCTCATCCGAGAGACTTCCTCAGTCTGAGGAGCTGTATTCAGCTCAGTCTCTTAAATAGCACCGTCTCAGGGTGGATCAACCAGTTTTGCTGCTGACAACCAAAACCAGCTGATCACATGCTCAAGAAGGACCATCAGCCTAACAATGGATCATTAGCACACTGATGGCTGTTTACTACTCACAGAGGGCTGAGTGATACTAGCAATCACAGCATTGTAAGAGGGGGACAGTTGAACCCGGAGGCCTCCACCCCTGTTTAATGATGGACGGTTTCTTTTCACAAAGATGGCCTCCTTTACTCCTCTCTCAAACCATCGTTCCTCTCTATCCAGGATGTGAACATCTTCATCCTTGAAAGAGTGACCGCTGGCCTGGAGATGAGTGTAGACCGCAGAGTCCTGGCCTGATGATGTTGATCTTCTGTGCACAGAAGATCAAATCCTTGGGGATCTCTCTGGGTGGAGTTTGCATGTTCTCTCTGTGCATGCGTGGGGTTTTTATGGGTACTCTGGTTTCCTCCCACAGACCAAAAACATGCATGTTAGATTGTCAAATTGTCTATATGTGAATGAGAACATGAATGATGTGTCCCTGTGATGGACTGGAGACCTGTCCAGGGTGTCCCCCACCTATCGCACAGTGATGGCTAGATATTGGCACCAGTGACCCCCATGACCTGAAAAGAAAGAAGCGGAAAGATAATAAATGGATGGATGGATGGATGGACCAAAGTGCTGTACAGTCAAATAAAACTTCTTCTTCCAACCATGTTCAGTCAGATCATCATGGACGGTTTCTTTTTTGTTGAAATGTTTCCTTCATTTAAAGGACTTCTTCAGTCAGAGGAGGCAAAAACAAACCAGAAATCTTCTTTTGACTTTTTCTCTCTTCAGGATTCACCACAGCGAGTCATCCTCCTCCATCTCACTCCGTCCTCTGCATCCTCTGTCCTCACTCCAACTACCTCCATGTCCTCTCCAACTGCATCCATATATCTCCTCTTTGTCTTTTTCCTGGCAGCTGCATTTCTAACATCCTACCAGTATACCCACTGTCCCTCCTCTGGACATGTCCAAAACCATCTCAGTCTGGCCTCTAGAACTTTATCTCCCAGTTGTTCAACCTGTGCTGTACCTCTGATGATCTCATTCCTAATCTTATCCAGCCTTGTCACTCCTAAGGAGAACCTCAACATCTTCATTTCTGCCACTTCCTGTTCTGTCTCCTGTCTTTTTGTCCACGCCGCTGTCTCCAGACCATACATCATAGCTGGTCTCACCACTTTACAGTCAAATAAGAGAATCACATTTTGCAAGTAGTGCAAAAAAAAAAAAAAGGATAAAATTTAATATATATATTTAATCAGCTAGAATTATTACTGAGCATTTATTTAGAAAAAAAATTGGATTTTCGAACTCTAATTTTTAAGCAACAATCAAATTTCAAACGCTGTAGTTTACATGAGGCACTTTAACGCAACACAAGAGAAAATGTATATAAAAATTAATCTGCGCATGTATTTGATGTTTTACGGTAACCGCCTCCAGTAGCGTCCTGTACGTGGCAGCGCTTCACAAAACGTCTCTGTGCTATTCATAACCCCGGGGTGCCAAGTGGGTGTCCGTCCACGCACGGAAGCGTGCCACTCGTGTTTTTTGAGCAGTTGGAGTGCAGGTAGGATGTCTTTATTAGATTAATGTCTGCCTTAGTGGATCATTTATTTGCACCATGTCGCTGGGCTGGCGCGAGTCCCGAACATGGTTGTTCCGAACATCCAGTCTGTTAAAAGATGTGGTGGTGCCACGATAGTAACAATAATAATATTTATTATTTCACCAAGTGTCTCTTCATGTTTATTGCATTGTTATTACTCGAAACGCTGCGGCGGGGGGGGGGGGGGGGACAGTCAGGTTCATCCGCGCAGACGAGACAGTAGAAGAAGTTTTAAAACTTTGCGCGAACTTTTCTGACCGGACAGACGGTGTTGGTTTCGCACATCGTTTATCACGCGCACGCCCTTTAAAATAGAAGGTGACACGTTTTAAAGTTTTATTAAATATCGGACATTACGGGGCTGTAAACAGCAGACACCCGCGGAGAAGTTTAAGTGTAACATGTTCTAGAAGCGTCTGAGTGGGGATGACGTCACGAGGTCGACCCAGATGAGGTCCAGTTTCACCAGACTGGTTCAGGTCCAGTTTCACCAGACTGCTTCAACGCAATCTGCGTCAGGTTTATAACACAACAAGCACTTTATATGATGCTAACAGCTGTTTAATTCAAATAAAATCAAAGCAGCTGGAACAGTTAGGTGTACGCTATAAAATTAGGTGATAACAGAAATTATACTGTGGAAATAAAATAGTGGAAGTTTAACATTGTTGTAATGGGAAATGAATTAATGTAATGTATTTTTAAAAAATTTTTTTTGCTTTGTGTAAAGGTCTTGAGGTCTTTTCTATCTAAAATGATCCATTTTCTTATAAAAGGTCCAGTTTTTTGCTGCTTGTTTTAACTTGCTCATTGGTGAACATGCTAGAAAATAAAATACAGATACTAATTTCACACTATAAACTATGGTATATCTCCAATCTATACCAAATGGAGCAGTTCCAGATGTGATGATACGCAACTCTGAAATGTGGGTATGCACTCAACGTAAACAAAGCACCTACATTAGACTGGATGTACTCTGTTAAATATGGCTAAATCAAAGCATAGAACCGAGGAAATAACATTTAGGTGAACATATTAGAGGGGATCTGCTGCTAAACATGAAGGAAAAGAAAAAAGGTTTTAAAGTTGTCTTGTTCTATCTGTGTACTTTCCTCAACAAATCTTATCATAAATACATACAGATGCATTAAAAATTGTTGGACTTCTCAGTTCCAAATATCTTTGATATACTTTCAGTCATACTGGCTGTTTCTGTGGGTACACATGTAATTGGTAGCTTTTCACGGTATTATTTCTTATACATTTAGAATTTAAGAAGACGATAACATCAAAATGAGAACATACATGTTGTTCATTTTGTTTCACACTTTATGATTTTTTTTTTTTTTTTACTGATCTTCATGACTTTGCAATGATTACCTTTTAAGGAAAAAAGGTACAAAATATATGTTTCCTGCACACTTTGTTTTTTGATTATCATTTTAAAAAAAAAACACACGCACTGAGTTACGTTACATTTGAATAAAACAGCTGCTCAAAACCAGCAAAGTTTTATCACTGAATGTAAAATAGTTTGATTAAGGTATTAAATTCTTAAAGAATTCAGAACTAAATGTTCTGTTGATCAGCTAATCCAGACGGAGTGAACTCTTTCTGGCTGACTTCCATCAAGCTGCTCATCGGGGATCCAAAGTGGACAAAAGGCTTCTTTATAAAAAAAAACTGTTCTTTAGTTCTGGTCTTTGCAAATGGCTCATAATGGCACCAGATACCCAGGTCCAGTATAAAGGGATGTGGGCTCAGTGGCCTGCAGAAATGTATTCTACGCTCAGTACAATGACACAAACTGGACGCGGCAGCAGCCATAAATGGGAGGCAAAGATGGCATGAATCTGTCAGCAGTGATTTGGCTGTGAGGTAGGTGACATGCAGACTCAGAGGAGGACGACTTCCAATTTATAGCTCGCATGTAGAAATAGATGTAAAAAAAATTATCCACGTCTTTTTTGTCTTTTGTTGAAAAAATATAAATCAACCACTCGCTGGTCGTGTGTGGTTATGAGATAGAAAATAAGCATTATTGTCCAATATGGATTTTTGCATTTGTAACTTTAAACATGCAAGTTTGAGCCTCATGAGTTAATATTTAAGCATCTCCCTGTTAACATTTTTTGTGAACTAGTTTATCAGGCAGAGATGGATAACTTTGGAAGCATGACTGCTAGCTGATTATTAATCCTCCGTTCTTTTCTCCTGACGTTGTCCCTGATGTGAGCAGAGCGTTGTCAGGAAATGCCCACTTCCTTCTTGTCAGAGAAAAGTCTGATTCGTTTCACGGTGTTTCTGCAAGATTCATAACGAGCTTGCCTAAAAGAAGATTCACTTAACCCTCTGTCATGTTTAGTGGAAGTGAAAGTTTGCCGTGAGTGGACTGCTTTGAGAGTGAATCAGAGTAAAACTAGAGAATTTTGTGGTGTAACTGATTAAAAATGTCTGACTTTGCTTACAAATCGTTAAGACTTTTAAAGCAACACAGTCCGCAGTGGATGCACTTTAATAAATATGAACACAAATTCCAAATTATTTCATATTTGCAGGGCAACTTCAAAGACAACTTGCTTTCTAACTTGCAGCCTGACAGAGATCGTCTCCGTTTCTGCTCTATCTGGTGTCACTCTGCACATCCAGAATGATGCTGTGTTTTACACTCACTCGTCCATTTCACAGACTCCCATCAGTCAGTTTGTGTTTAGCGTCAACATTTTCCCTGTCTCTAATCTCACTGCAACATTTACACACAGCTCAGTGTGACGAGGAGCAGACACCTGGCCTGCTGCAGCTTGGAGTGTCTCAGCTTTCTGCCCTGCAGCCTTCATTCTTTGTGGAGATTGATAGGGCAACTAAAGTCCTGACTAGTTGCATAAGATTATATGAGTGTGTCTATTTTTTGTTAAAACCCTAACAATGCCACAAAGGTGCACATTAGTTATTTTTTGTTAAAACCCTAACAATGCCACAAAGGTGCACATTAGTTATGTTTTACAATGTTAACAGTAAAAAAACAAAGTTTTCAAGCTGTAACATTTGTATTTTAGTGTAGTAATCACTACAAATGAACACTTTTCACATTTTGCCTCTTGTTTTTTTTTTCAGCTCTGGTCATTTGGTTAATAATAATAATAATCTATTTGATTAACTGTGGTTCTAAAAAGAATCAGAATCAGTTTTATTGTCATTGCACCGAGGCACAACGAAATAACATTTCAGTACAGCCCGTCCGAGAAAACATAAGCAAACAGACATGGGGAGACTGAGATGTCTGAGGCTGCAACCTTCAGGAGGCGCTGTCCTTTTTGTTTAGATAAGAAAAAAGAAACACGAGAGGAGGGGAGGTATTAAAAAAAGCACATCTTGCACTGTGTCCTAGATGGGACACAGTGAGAGTTAAAATAAAAATAAAAAGACCTCACAGAAACAGCAACATACTGATGACATCATAATACATTTATGCATGAGGAGGCATTTGTCGACAGGCCAGGTAATCACCTCCAAAAAGCAGAAATCCTGTTACCATTAATCCAATTATGTATGTGTCTTCTACATCCTCAACCAACAATATGGATAGACATACAATCTTCCACAGCTCCCAGGAGTCCATTGTGCAGCCTACAAGTGTCCCGTCAGGGCAAGAGGGCTCTCCTTTACCCTGTCTTCTTGTCGAGAAAATTTTATCAATTGCGTTGAGAGACCAGCTGACCAGATCCATAATTTACAATACGGAAGATATAAAGAGATATAAAGAGAGGCTTCGATAGGGTTCACAGGATAAAGCGTAAAGCAGGGGGGAAGCATCCGCCTTCGTCAAGAGCAAGCAGGAAAAAAGCCAATGTATTTATTTGAAACTACTTCCTAAAATCATTAAATGTTTCTGTAAATATTTGCCTAATCACAGTTTGCATTCATGTTGATGCAGTTGCCATGACAACGTTCTTCCTTTATCAACTTTTGTAGCTAATTTTTGCTTTGGTTTTGCTCCTTTTTTTTTTTTAGCTTTTTGGTTAAACATTCATTTGTTTTATTTATTAAAAAAAAAGAGTATTTTCAATTAATGTTTTCTTCTGTTTTTACTCAAAAGTAAACAGAAAAAACACTTTTAACGTATCATTTCAGCACTAATGTGATCCGAGACAAGCATAGATGAGTAAACTTTTGCTCCGCAGGAAAAGCTGCCCCATCGCAGACCTTGGATCCTAACTGCTGTACCACAGCGTGTTTAT